TATGTTTCTAAGATGATGATACGACAATTAACCCATCCATTTGGAAGCAACACTTCATTTTACTTAATTGAAAGGACGATGAGAATCTCGTCAGTTTTTGGGATAATTTCCCCATTTAAAGGAAGGGACTAGCGACAAAGGCACCGAATTGCACATAACCTTGACATTGCATCAGTCTTTTCTCCACCATGCATTTCCGAATTTCAGCAATTTTCAATGTTTATTTTCGTTTTTAATCTTTGAATCCAACCGTTCTCGTGTCTGAGCAGCAGGCGACTATCTGTTTGACTTGTCAAGTGTGTATAGTTTTGTACCAACTGCCTTGTACCTGAGCTGAGGTTGCAAGAGACAGAAGCATGCCATACAAAGGCGGCTATAGAGGATGCCAGCGTTGTGCTGTCAAATTCACCCTGAGGTCGGAGTGTGCTTCTGGTGATGTATTCTGTCAATGTTTAAAGTCAGACAATTTGGGAATCTCCCACCTCTTTTTTAGCACTTTCATTCTCTCAACAAATGGCCATTTTTTAGGGCATAGGATGAGGTTAGGCTCAAAAAAATTTTCATCCGTTTGTCGTTTAATGCATTGTTGTTTCGATTTTCCTGAAGGCGGGCTCAATGACGCACGACTCTACGCCAAATAATCCCTTAACCATTTTCATTTTAGTCACATAAATGGTCTTTGTAATAAAAAAGTCTCATGTTTCACCTCATTTTTGTTCGCTTATTTATTTGTTTCCTTTCACATATATTATTTCCAAGATCCATATTAACAATTTCATTTCCAGTGTTGGATTTAGCTTCGTTTTGTGGTTCATCCGTCAATGCTTCCGTTGACACTAGTTTTGATTGGTGTAAATTCGAACTCCTTGGTAGTCTTATTCCTCTTGCTGATTAACTTGATCGTGCCTGTGTCTTGGTTGACTGATTGGCTTTCCCTTTTCGTTTGTCGAGGCGGCCCTTTTTGATGGCACAACACACTGTACATGTGTCACCCGACTCATATAACACGTAGTTGTGTAAATTCTGAGGGGTTATGCGCACAACACACGAAATCAGCACCACACGAAACAGTCGCTGCGATGAAGGCTCTCGAAGGCACACAATCACATAGTTTTAAGGCTATGCAAGCGCAAAAGTGGAATTGATGAACATCAATTCTCCTCACCATTATTTATTGTCCTTGAATTTTGAATAGATTACTTTCCTAAGCATTTAAATTAAATGGGCAACTTCAAATGAACCATTGGCATTGTCAGAAATGAACTTTAGTGAAAAAACTAAAACTACGATCAGCACCAGTGATCTAGATTAAGCTCTAAAAAATTTAGTCATCTTTGTGTTTTTGCTTTCTCAGTGTCAACAAGCTGACGCTGAGGTGACCATTTCCTTCGTTGATCCGATCCGGGGCAATTTGGAGCTATCTCTTGCAGGTACCGTTTGTTTGAAAGACTCCCTAGCCTCCATTTCAGGCATTTCATTTCCGTCTCATGCCTCTATTTTACCGACTTAGATGAAGATAAGCCTTTCCTGCTAGCACTTTATGTGATCACTTTGACTGGCGAAAAGGTATCAGATGATGTGATCGACCTCTTTGCCACCGACCAAACGGACCGCAGCTTCACACCCCGAAATCTTGCTTTCCCTCTCACTCCAGACCGAATTCCGATAACCTTCACTATTAAGGGTAAGGCGAAAATGTTTTTTTGTGAATAGAGCTGGTGGTGCATCTGAGTGCTTCTTAGGCACCACATTACATTCAGCTTGACTAGGTTTTTTGAGCACTTGATGATCCTAACAGTTGATTTAAATGCAGCTTTTCCGTTAATTTAACTTTATTCAACTTCATTTTGGAGGTTTCGGTGATGTTTTTTGAGGTCTTTTTTACTTTTGTGTGGTGACCAGACGTTTTGTGTGAAGATTCAGATCTACTGTATTCAATTTACCATTTACAATAGCGACAGTTTTGAAGTAATAGTTTTTTAGTTTTGTTTTGTCAAAGCGCCAAAGACCAGACTGGCTGTAGGTCGCGGCTGTAGCAAAGGCGGCCAAAGGTCAGCTTCTCTTTAGCAAAAAGAGGTAAACAAGCGTCTTCTCACCAAACCCAAATACCTCCAAATGTGGAATTCTGGTGGAAAATTTGCACTTTGACAGTCCATGAAAAGCTTAAACGATTGGAATCGTTTTATGCCTTTTACTAGACCAATCATGTGTTAGTCGCTCATAAGTGGCATTCGACGCTCCTTAAACTCAGTAGTAGTAATGGTCTCAAGCAGAAAGGTGGATATGAAGGTGAAATAGTCAAGCTGGAGGAGCACCAAGGCATTAGAAGTCAAATTAGTACTTCAGGCGAAATTAGAGGATAAACTCAATTACAAGAATGCGACTAAAAAAATAAGGTGGGACATGTTTTGAAAAGGAAATGAAAGTTGGTTCTTCACTTCTTAACACAAGTACCCACTTCTTTCATTCGACTTGCTTTGAGTGCGTTTGCGTGACTGGGTAATAGCACTTTATGGGAAACAGACGGGCAGATATTAGTTTGATGGTTATCTAGACAATAAGCTAAGGTAGCAGTCAGGATGAATGTAAATTTGGATTTGAACAGATGCAGTCATAAGAGGTGCGAAGCACGCCAGCACGACCTTTTGAACCCATATGAGGTGCAAAATGGGGCGGGTTCAGACGTATTTTAAAGCCATTTTGGTATTGGAACTTCGAAGCTATTGTTGACGAGTGGTTATTTCAATAGAGATCGTTGAATTACAGTGAAAATGCACATGTCCAAGGAAGAAGCTATGATGTAGGACTTTAGTCTGTCCAATTCTACCAGTTCAGACACCTTTACTATCGCCAAATGGAATGTATGAGGAAATAGGCGGAAATTTCAAATTGATCATATTTTGTCGTATTTCTTCCACAGATAGCAATAATAGCACAAGCAGTAACAGTTTCATTCGTCCTCATCCAAATTCTATTGATCATGACCTGTTCGAACCTCTCGCGCTCCTCGTGGATCGGCCCAAGTCGACCCTTTACCACGAGACGAGCAGGGCCCATCGCACTCCCCACCTTAGGGGCTTGTCGCAAAGCACGCACAACCTCAGTGCATCGTCTATCGCTGCTGGGGCTTCTGGTGTTGGTGGTGTCGGTGCAAACGGAAAGGGTCGCTCCCGTTCACGTCTGCGCCTTTGTCTCTCTCGAAATAATCTGTTCTCCCTGGGGAACGACAATGAGGGAGATGATAAGGACACATCTCCCCAACAATTCGGTATCTTTGGAAGGCTCCCAAAGGAGGCCTGGCCAGATTGTCGGGTCTCCATGTCTGTGATGGTGCGTCCGAGTGATTTTCATCCGAAAATATACTGGAAGTTGGATTATGGAATTCTGATGGCATAGTTACGTCCATGTTAATCACTTATAGAGAATCTTAGAAATTCTCAAATTACATCTACACCTGAGCACATCGCAATTAACATTGCGATGCTTTTATGCTTACCATCAGTGCCTTTCGAGCTGTGTGTCCAAACATTTCCAATTTACTCGTTTACGATCCATCACGCAAGATAAACTAGCTACTGACCTGTAAAGTATTTAATGTGATTGTCTCCTCAAATTTCTACACTTTAAAATTCAGTCTTTATAAATGCAACTGTTTTAAGAAGAAAAGGTCTTGAGAGCAAGCTCAATCTAAAACTAGACAGCCCTCTTACATTGACTCCCAAATTGTCATAGGACAGCATTGGCTTTTCCGTCTGAAGCACGGGTGGGCGCCTGCTAATGGGAAATCATTTCTACTATTTGGAATAATGTGTTATTATTTTTTTGATTTCCCTTGTAGAGCCTCTTCGTGGTGATCTTCTACAGGGGTAGCCTCACAGAGGGAATCTTCCGCAGATCTGTCCAGATGTCGCATTTACAGGCACTGGTTCAACGCGTGGACACCAATGAGGATCCTCTCATGGCAGAGGAGTGCTCACCTCTCCATGCAGCCAATATTCTTAAGGTGGGCTAGAGAATTGTACAATGAAAATTGACGAAAAGGCAGATCACTTCCTCGAAGAGAGCACGTTAGGAACTGGTAGCTTTTAACGGTACTGGTTAAATACATAGAGATTGTTTAGAAATAGCAGAGGTAGGCGAAGAAAGGATTGATTAATGCAAATGCTTGGGTTGATCTGAGGTGGTTTTGTTTGCCAATCAGTGGGTGGGATAGGTAACGAAGAGCCGAACAAGCATGAGCAAATGGGTGGATGCCGATTTGAGGATGGGCAAAATTTGGTTGAATCAGCCTCTAAGAAGGCCTTCATAATGATGGTCAGGCAAGCCTAATGCTCTTGTTGGCCTCGACCACTTTGGTCTAAACTTCAATCGTTCATATCAATCAGTGATAGTTTGAGATGTCAGAAACTGTTTTCCGACTTTAATCAATTCTTTCAATGAATTCTATAAAGAGTAGTCAGTTTCATTTGTGATTTTAAGATGTTAATTTTTTTAAACTTTGATATACAAAAGTTGAAGTTTAAAAGGAGAACTAGATGTTACACGTTCCAAAACAATTTACTTAATCCTTGCGAATGGTGCTTCTCTCATACGAATGCAAGAGTAATGCTCTGGGAACTGTTTTATTGATGAGTAGAGTGAGCCTCTAATCTTCCTATGTTTAGGTCTCCGCTTTAGTTCTTTTCCATGCTTATCACTAATCCTCACTATGCACGCAATTTAATACAAACTCATGAGACTTTGGGTGGTTGAGAATGAGTTATTTTTGGATGGTGGTCCCATCGTTATACCAGTACTATCGTGTAGGCGGTTTGAAAAGCCTATCAGTCGGAAGGGTAGCAATGGGTTGAGAGTCCTTGGTATTTCGGTGGTAACTTTGTGCTTTACAGAGGGTATTTTGTGGTGACTTGCCGCGCTGAAAGAGATGAAAATTTTACCCTACGGATACAACTAGCACTCGAAAAGTTTTACCCCGAGTTAATGGTTCTCATTCACTCGTGACACGCTCTTTGTACCTATTTATTCCAAGTACGCACATCCAACCCAACCAAATCGCATACTGATGGCTTGTTTTCAAAGGAAGTTTACATTGTAAGCAAGAGAATGGGGTCCTATGGACAATGGCTTTCTTTTTTGTTAAGCCGTAGGAGCTAAATAGGCTATTTGAGGAGTCATTTTGTGTTAGGAATCTACAATCTCAACCCCGTATTAGCAAGGATCAATGTACAGTACGACCGTTGGAGTAGCACCAAGTAACCGCACTGGTATCACCTCATTTCTTCACTGCAGAAATACTTTAAAGAAATCCCGGGACATCTTCTAATTGACGAGAAATGGGACGACTGGTGCAAAATGACGACCTTGAAGACGGACGAGGAAGTTGCAAACTACGCCAAAAAGTGAGTTGCCCGAACACTCCTCCCTCTTTTTGTGTGTGTCGAGGTCACCAAGATTCCAATCAATTCCACCCCCACACACCTGAACGGAAACACTCATCGAATACCACAGAATTCATTATTATTTCCGTTCAGCCTGGGCTCCTCATTTCCCTTTATGGGGTTTTTGTGTTAATGCTAATGACCTAGCTAGTACATAATTGCGCCCTCGCATTTGTAATTTCCTGTGATCGCTTGCTTATTTTTGTTGCCTAATAGATGCGCTAGCCCTTTTGATTTTTTTTTTTCGTGATTTTAGAATTAATCGCTTTAGCACATTTTTCCTCGTGGATGAACTCATGCAGTTGCCACTCACCATTTTTGGTATCAACTAGTGCATGTGAATGAAACTGCCTATTATTGGAGTTCCACCACCTCCGCAGTAGGGGGCGACACTGTATACCTTATCACTTTAATCCACACTGTTCTGCCATCGCTCTTCAGCTTGGGTTTTCAAACCACCACCCAAATGTGAGGAAATCAACAATAGGAGGGCAGTGAAGATCGTACAGTGATCATTCATGATAAATAGACGTACGAATTCAGTTGTTAAAGCGTACTTCAAAGACTAATTACGGCTTAAGGCTTATGGAGGCTCTTTATTCACCGCATCTTGAATCGTTTCTTTAAAAGTTAAAAAACCGTGAATAGGAGGGCAGCATTACTTCCAACGTAAAAATGATCCAGGATCGAGGTCTCCGTCATTTACGGGGAAAGGTCTGAACGTTGCAAAAGAGTATGGAATTAGATGAATAGATTTGTTATTTCTTTCGCCTCCCCAGGATGATGCGCGAGCTCCCGGACATCAATCAATCTCTACTAACGTTCCTCCTCTTCACTCTGGCTCAAGTGCGAGTGAACCAGGAGACTAACAAAATGTCTGTCGACGCCCTGTCGACGGTGTGGGGCCCTAACCTCCTCGAGCGTCCAAATGCTGCACCCAGCTTAGAAGACAGCGCAATGTGCGTCGCCGTTGTGGCTTGCCTCCTTGGTCCTTTTACTGACGTCTATTGTCTGCGCAGTCCTGAGTTTCGTCAAAAACTCTCCGTTTTCTTTGACGAGATTTGGGGCCAGATGATGCCGCCAGGGGAGACGTCAGCAAAGCCTCCACCTGAAGGAATCAGCATCCTGGAGTTGCCAGAGCGTGAGTTTGAGTGGAGAAAGGAACTATAAGTCTAATGTGCTTCAGTAAATGCTGAAATTCCAGGCCACTTAAAAGTCAATTGAGGCTTATCCCTACTGTAGCTTTTATGCGTGAGGTCATGCTAGTGAGATAACTGAGTTAATGCTCATATCGAATTACTTTTGTCCTCTTATTAGGCTCATGAATTTGATTCCCGTTTCAGGGCAGTTCATTCCAGGCTTATTAAGCCACTGGATTCTTCATCAACTTCAGAAACGGTGTTTGTTTATAACGTTAACTTAACGAGAAGGCTTTACAGCTGACTTTGTGGAATTGGCTCTTTATTCCACACTGTATGCGTTTTAGCTGTGGCTTCGAGAAATGAGGGAATATTATTTAAGATCCCGACATTGTGCATGGACGTGTCTTAAGTACTCCTCTTTACTTTTTTTTAGAAAAGCCTGACGAGATTACAGCCTCGAATAGTAGCTTAGGAAGTCCCAGGTAAGAGACTGCTTTGGCTCAAGCTTACCACGTAACCTATCATCTGATATCATCAACGTTCTTGACTTTCCCCTCTTTCCACAATGTAGACAACGCTACATTTGAAATGGACGAACTAGTTTGACTCTGCATTATCTGTAGCTTCTAGCTAACCCCGGACTGACAAGCTCACCTTAAACACCTCAATAAATTTAACGAAATAAAACGTGGTTATTATCGGTGAAAAAAAAAAACGTTGTGATATGAAAAATTAACAATCGCAAGACTTATTTTTGTTCTGTATGATGGTTTTCTAATCACCATCTGTTTCATTTTGCGTTCTCTTAAATCAGTGAAAAACCACAATTTATGGCGATAAAACATAAAAACATTGACGATTCCTTAAAAGCCTACTTAAGGTATCCCAGCAGCTGCCTTATCTCAAGTCCCATTTGACTGTCCTGGCCCTGTGTTGCCATTCAAGCTGATGATCAAGCAATATTCCTTTTTAGCCATCGCAACTTACACCAAACAAATCAAAATTTCTTTTCTTGTCATTACGAATGGTTACTCTCTCAATGCGATTTTGATCTCGTTCCCTTTACATTGTAATTTGCGACGTCCATTGAACCATTCACTCGTACTTCCGGTGTTGGTGCGTTTGTTCTCTCATAGTGTGCTGCCATCCTCAACATCATCGTCTTTGAAAAGTTTGAAGGTGCACCAAATCTTGTGATGTCTTTCGTGCTTAAGGTATCGTTTTGCGTTGCAATTTCCCCCCTAACGGACAACATATTCACTCTTCAGCCGCAAAAGCACGGGCGTCGCTTTCGGTGCCCGGCGCATGACTTTATTTGGCAGTATTTTGCCTTTGGGATGGCTTCAGTGACGAAACTCTAGTGTTATTACCTAGATACCGTTAAGATCCTGACGCTATGAGAAAGCATCTTGCAGAGGGGTAGTAGCATTGTTGAATTAACCTTCCTAAAGTCGTCCGATGGGCATCACCTCACTGTGTGACAGTCTTGACGGTGACGCCGAAGTACATCAGTCTCGTGTCGCGCCTCTCTAATGGGTGTGTACTTCTAAATGCTTAAATATATTTTTCGAAAATGGGTGGTTTGTATCACTACCTCAGTTTTCTCTAGCACTCAGTTCCGTTGACTTCTCTTAAAAGTCAGGTACACCAAGAATCATATTTGTCCTCCATTCTTCCTCCATTCCTCCCTACAAACACATGCTAGTCTTAGTTATTTTGTCAGACATCTCAAATTATGCTTGCGATTGCGTTATTGACGGTTTCAGGCGTCGATATTTTTACTTCTCCCATTATAGTGAGTCGACGTATGTCTGCCTTGTTTGTGAATGATGCACTGAATCCTTCAAGTGTTATTTTGATAAACCAAAGCATCTGGTAGATGCTCTTGCTAATTGTTTGATGTTCGATTAGACACGTGCGGTGGGCATAAATTATTAGTGTGCTTAGTTAGCAAATGCGGTCATCCCTTTTCCCCAAGTAAATGGATTTCGGGTGCTGCTTTCCTGATAATGTATCAGCTTCTAGCGCCTGGATGGCGACCAGTCACGGAGGAAGCTCGACCATTTCAATACACTCAAGCATTTTCTCCCTCTTATTTAATATTTGCTTTGCCCAACCGACCAGTCTGTGGCTAAAAACAGATTCGGTCACTCTAAATACCAAGTGTATCACCTCTCCACTTTGGCTGTTTAAGCACTATCCATCTATTTATGCTACGAGTTGATATTAATCGGTTGCCAGGAGAGAATGAAGAACACGCCATGTGTGTAATGTCTGATTGGAGTAAGAAGATCTTAGGGTTTTGGCATTCGATTGCGCTTCTCAATTCTCTCCTTTGCGTTAAAATTTATTATTTTATTCTTTGGCGACCCTTTTTTACACCCACACACACAAGAGAGAGGCAGATTTTGTGAGAACCAGAGATAAAAAACTATCTGCCTACACTCTACTTTTGAGAGTTGAGCAATAGTATTCTAATTGAATCGCACCTCTCAAACCATCTGAAAATAACGTTAACCATCTCTTCTTTGTTCCTTGTCTTGGGGTCGTTCGGCTTATATTTTATCCTTCGTTATATTCCCTTTGGCGTTTAAATAGGCGATCCCTAGCCTCCCATGGAGTTGATAAAGGTGGGCAAAGTTGATTGGGCTTAATGTCGATGGTGAGGTACCGCCGGGAAAATAGGCAGGAGTTCACTAGAATGAGAAGTCACTTTCCATGGGAGTATCGTGTTCCAGTTTGTCCGTTTTGATGTTGATTTGCTTATTTGATTCTCTTCATATCCTGTTAACCTCTTTTCACCGTATTTCATTCTTCAAAGGCGTTTCGGCAGCTGATTCCCTAACAGCCAACCTCATGAGGTCTTTATCTGTTAAGATTTCCATGATTCCTCACACATTATTTAGGTTGTGGTTCTAGTTTCCAGGTTCTATCGCCTCATGCTGACGAGTTATACATCCTTTTATGTCCAAACAATTTAAAGTTCACTATCTTGGTGCCTCTTGTTCACCTTGAGAACTAGGTGCCTTACATTGTGGATGCACTGGAGATTGTTGCTTTTTAGAAGATAATTTGGGATGGACTGGGAGGCTGAAATGCATGCCAGCATTGATGAGGGCAGACTCCTTTTTCCTCCTGTTTAAAGCTGTTTTCCAATGATTCAAGGAGTAGTGACTGTGTTTTAGGCCACTATTTTCGCCTTCTTAATCTAACAGTACCGATTGTTCTTTTATTCCTATAATTTTGCATTTCTAATTCTTTGTGGGATTTGTTTAACACATTGGAAGTTTTGTGAAGGACTGCTTTAAAGTTCCGTCGAATGACTCAATCATGGAAACGCGAAGAATGTGTGAAAACTTCCCTTCATGACGTAAAAGCTTCTTTAATGTCATGAATGAAAATGTTTTTTGGATCCCTTTTGTCACATGAACCCTAGAAAGGGGATTTTGTATCTGACTGGCGAATAAAATCCACGGAACATTACAAAAGCCAGACCAATCAGACCTAATTCTACCAAAAAAGGCGTAGTAAGAGGAGAAATAACTGGTTCCCCAAACGTCAAAATGACCTTCCAAGGAACCACTGATTGACTTCCTTTTGTGTCATTTCGTTGCTGTATCTTTTGTCTCGTAAAACTCTAAAGGAATGATGTGGTTTTGGGATACTGGTTTGCAAAAATTTCGGATGCAAGTCTCTATCAAACGGAAACGGATTTTGGCAGCATGAAGTGATTTTCCCAAAGTTGGCTCAGAATCAATGGAATTAAACATCTGCTCACTTGTGTTGGTGAATTCCTTTACCACCCATCCACATTTTCTATCGTTTTAGACCACTGGAACCACTACATGCTAAAGATAAGCGCAACGCATGGATGGTTCGCTCATCAAGTGCTGAAGAGTCCTCTGAAACATCCTCCGGTCTCAAACGTTGCTACCGAGCTATCAAGAAGGACACCAAATCTTACAGCGTCCAAGACGGCGCTGATCTGCCACCACCCATCCCTCCGCGCTACCGGCACAAGAGCACATCCTTTTTTGCTTTTGGTCCTATTCCACTCCCCTCTGCTACTTGTACCGCCTGCGCTATAGACGCAGACAGCCCTCCACCCTTGCCAGCGCGCACTTTTGGACCGTTCCAACAGCCTTTTCACACACAAAATGAACAGCGTAGAAAAATATGCGTTACAACGCGAGACACATTCTCCGTGTCTGGTACCACTGTTGTCGACCGTAGACGCAGCTTCTCACGTCGGAGAAACCCCTCTCGCAGCCCTGTTCGTTCGTGCACCATCAATGTTGGCGAGCCGAGTCTTCGCCCTCTTATGATTGGAGACATTTGTGAGGATTATGATGGCCTAAATCTTAGTCCAGGTAATGCAGATGTCGTCCAGTCGAAATCGAAGGTAAAGGAACTTGAAGCTACCAAAACCACCACTTTAAAACGTTCCACTAGCGATGTGGATGCGCATCCGCTGAATAAGCAGGTGACCATTCGAAGAAAGTCCCATAATTCGGGATCACCACAGTTCTTGGAGCACGAGATGGGGCATGGCGGAATGTGTTTCTTCTGGAACACAGTGGCTGCGCGACGGATGAGCTCCAGAAATCATCGTTGTGAGACACGTTGGACGTGTGGACTCTATACAGATCAGGGAGGCAAAAACGACTCAACTGGTTCAGATGTCTCAAATGATTTGACTCTTCTCTCTCGACGTCTTACAGAACTTGCAAACGTCGACAGTTCCAGACCGACAGGCGTTCGACCACGTCCAACGGCAATATACCTTGAGGACAAATCCTGCCTCATGTTTCCAAACTTTCAGAAGACGTCTCCAGCTTCTGAAGTCCCAGTTGGTATCTGTCGACGAATTAGTTCTATCTATGAGCAAAAAAAGGTGATGAATGAGACTGGATTGAAGAACTGGCCGCTACGTGGAAGTCTTGTGAGTCCAGACCAGCTGAATTCGACCAGTGGTGGAAGTACACATCTGAGCCGAGGGAGCTCGCACGCTTCCACTGGCTCAAGCACCTCAACAACCCTGGGACCGAACTAATCACCTGTATAGAGAGTGGAGAGGTTGTTGGACACCTTTTTGTACATACCGCGAGGGCGGAGGAATCGAGGATTGCGTTGGTGTTGTTAGTAGTGATGGTGATGACCTAAATCGATGCGGTTTACTTATCCTTTCTTGCTCACCCTCTCGCTAGTTCATCAGATCTCCTAACCTTTCCATCCTCCTTCCTCTTTGCCTTATTCCCTCTGATTTGCGATACGAACTCATTCCTGAATGTGATTATTTTTTTTTCATTATACAATGTTTTATTTACTGTGTTTTGTGACTTTTATTATTCTAGCGTGGGTGTTTTTTGCACCTTGGTACCGAATAGCCTTGCCAGGGCCATGTTTTGCTCCTCAGCTAATGCTTTTGCTACCTGAGTGCTGACCACTTTCTTGACCACTTGAACCCGCCTCTGCATTTCGGCTCACAAATAGTCAGGCAAGATGTGGGAAGGACCACTAAATGATCTGCAACTACACTCTCAGAGTATCTGCTAAAGCGAGGGAGGCGAAATATTTCAAGACCTTGCGGTATCACCTTTACCCAGAAAGGCTTCTGATATCCACGGGGAAAAGGGCAGCGTTACTGTAAGTTGTGAAATGCTCGAGAACTTATTCCACGCTATTTGCTTGGAAGGTGTAAGACTTTGTTGTTCCTACAAATGCAGTATAGAGCACAGGTTTGTCTTCACTCTATCGTCGTAATCACGTAGGGACAAGAACTCGAATGGGATGGAATGAAATTCTCACTTCATGTCGTCTCTCATATGGCATGAGGAGTCACAAAGTCCTCTTGCGGAATTGATGATTTGTATAACAGCATTCCTTACACTCTGGTAATTACAGAAATGTCGAAACCATTGGCATAAATTGAAGGTGAGACCATCTGCTTGGATGCAGCCAGGAGATGCCTCCGGAGGTTCTGCAGCAGGGATTCATTTACACACCTCGTAAAAGGCGTTTTCTGATTGTAAGTAACATCTGCGCAACAAGATGAGTAGTTAGAAAGAATCGTCGAAGTCTCAGGAAATTTTTCGAACCCCTCTAGCTTTCTGACTCACCTACCTGACTTTCCTCCAAAGTTTAGACATTTGTTTTCAATTGTGTTGAAAAACTTAAGTCCAACCACAAAATTGATGAGTGAAATGGATCACGTTGACTGGCCGATGGTAAGTGGGAGACATCGCACTGTTGAAGCACCAAAGGGCTGTGAGGGTGCAGACGTTACCAGAAAATCGTGTCGCTAGGACGGAGATGTCGTGTGTTTAACCTCTAGAGCCAATGGAGCTAGGGGCGCCATTTAGGGACATGTGGATGAAAATAATCTGAGAATGGTAGGGAAGATTTAATTGAAGTAATTCCGTGGATAAGTCGTTCATTTAAATGAAAATTCAATTTTTTTTCAAATATCCAATTTTACGTTTGCTGAAATATAGCAAGTAGGTGGGTGCTGGCCACAAACCTGCCACCTTTTTCAGCCTTTATTGCTTTTTTTTTTTTGGAAAAAAGAACAAGTTGTCTACCGTATTAGTAAAAAGTAAATCTAGGCTTTCTTCCTTTGGAAAATGGTACTTCTTCCGAAAAAGCAATTTAGGTCTACTGAAATAATATAAGTAGGTGGATGAGGCCTTGGGTATTCAGTCAAATGACTTTTCATGCATCATTTTTTACGAGAAACAGGGATATGATCTACTGAGAACGTATTTATCCCAAAAATTACTCCTTTATATTACAAAATGAGTATGATATATTGAGGTTTTTCATATTCTGCCACCATGAATTGAAGCTTCTATGTCGCTTACATGTTGGATCGCCGTGCATTATTTTAAGTTGTCGACTTACCTGTTGATAATAAACTTTTATTCTAACATTCGAGGTTTGGGTGTCCTTTCATTAAATTCCAACCTTTTGATAAAGCTCCGAAACCAAAGTCACCTTGTCAAAGGTTTCCTTTGCTTTCCGCAATGCGCATAATCAGGTTAGCATTTGTCGTGGTTGAAGTGGCATTGAGTGCCCAGACTCACTTCAAATTGCACCATGATCCGACTTTGCATCCCACATACATGGGAGTAATTTTGAGAGACAGGCAATCACATTAGGGTAGGCAACTAGTCAGATCTAAATTAAAGGCTAACGCCGAGCCTGATGTCATCAGGAGTATCAACTTGACGAGAACAGAAGGGCAAACAAGAAACAATTAGTTGTACTAATGCCATTGCAGGTTACCGTCCGCCCTATGCACTAAAATTTATAGGTGTATTATATGCAAACCCGAAAACTGTCCGAGTTTGTTAGGAATGCCATAGCCGTTAATCACAAAAACGCATACGTAAATATAACTTTCCAAGGTAGGTGCAAAGGTCGAAACGCTGGCGTTTGGGTTATTTTCACAATGCTTGCTGTTTTCTTTGGTTATGCGTGCAACATGTGTTTTAAATCAAGGGCGCATTGTGATTTACCACAATCAAATCACAGTTGACTTAGTTT